GCTCTCATCTCCCTGTCAAGGAAAACTCTAAGTACACTGGTTGGTGCCCTAACTGGGCACAACCTGTTCAACCGCCACAAAATGGTGATGGGACTCCTTGACAATGGTCTGTGTGATGCCTGTGGCATTGAATTAGAGACCTCTTTGCGCTACTTAGGCCACTGTGTGGCTCTGAGTAGTCAAAGGAAAATAATTCTTGGGGACCCCTTTAAGATCCCGGGAAGCTCAGAACACTGAGTGTTTCTAACCTTGTGTCCTTCATCCGAGGGATGAGAAGGTTCGAATAAAGACCAAAGTCTTTTTGGGGAGAGCAATGGGCTCACTTAAAAGGCCTCCACTCATATGGATTTTATATCCATTCCCACTAACCATAAACCATAGTAGGTGTAAGACTTCCTGATGCAGGCTGTCACAGATGCACATCTGTGCAGTCAGGTTTCTTTGAATTACTAACCCTAAATCAGACCTTGCAGCTCTCTGCAAGCTTAGACCAGTAATAATGTGTCTCTCCACRTTATTGGCAGGATTGGTCCTCTAGTACCACCTCACTTACACAAAATGGTAATCTGTAGTAACACAGATTCATCACTAAACATGATCTGAATCCCMTCATCATCACTCCACACGTATAGGTCACCGCACTGCATCTCTTCTCTGGTGTTAAAGGCAGCTGACGCATGGAGCAGAGAACCTGGATAATTTCAGTTACTGGTACATGAATGATGTGGGACGAGATTAGTTGTTGTTAAGTATCCAATACTTGTGTCTGGACATCAAGWGCAGATGGTTCTGTAATACTTGGCACCAATACAACGTAACACCCCTTTATATGTTGTTCACAATAGGGGTGTCCCTATACCAGTTTTTCTTAAACAGAGTACAAGTACTTCAGTTTAGGTACTTGTTGGTACAGAGTATTTACTGATAAGCCTACAGTCCCTCTGACTGGATCAAGTCAAATCCACAGCATGGTATATACTGTTGCAACAGTCTAAAATAAATAAAAATAAGAAATACGATTTTTTTAAACTTGTTATCAATTTCTTAAACATGGAACTGACAAAACTTTTAACTTGAAATGTAAACTTGCCACATTCAGTGGAGTATGGATGCCACTATCCCAGTATCGATACCAGTGTTCAGTATCRATACTGGTTTTGGTATCGAGCATTGTGACATTTTGTACAAGTACTTGTAAAAATGCTGGCATCGGGACACCACGAGTTCAGATATTTTAATTCTTATCTAACTATTTGTTCCAGTATTGAGCCTCTGTATTTCTGTAACAAGTCTTCTGACCACTCAGGAACCACCTGCTCTTTTTATGGCCTCTGGTGCCCATCATTTCCACMCCCATTGGTAGTCTGTATGTGGACTGGATTACTTTTGGGTGCTTATATGTTAAGTTTTAAATACATAACTAAAACTCAAAGTGGGATGGTACAGTGAATGTCCTTTCAAAAGTTTATTTATGTATCTGGAAACAAGTTCTTGGCATTTGATGAATGAAAAATGTGACATTTTTGTGTCTTTTGATTTTTTTTCCCCACAGTATAATCATTCAATTATTTATGTCAATAAAWACCAACTCTACACACCTACAGTAATCACCAGTAGCACAGTATTTACTCTGAGAAAAACAGAGATCACTTTTACTAAACGTTGGTGTTCCACATTGAAAACCATTCTAAARTGMCATTTAAAMCTTTTATTCATCCACTAATGGATGTGATTCTATAATACAGCTCACCCAGTGTTGAACAAACCTCACATTATGTTCTCTATGTCCATAATATTGTCAAAAACTGGATTTTTCTTTGTGTGCCTCAGGTCTTAAAACATACTGACACTGAGTATTTTATTGCTGCTGGGTTTTGCTCCCCTCCAGTCTATTATCTATTTATGAACAGTACAGTGGACTTTCAGATTTATACCAACCATGATGATATTGTAAGAAATGAAACCAGAGTAAATGCATCGCACCCTGCTGATTCCATGCAGCACAAAGGCAAAGTTTATTCCTGAGCTTAAAGAAACTACAAAACTGAACTCTATGCTGTAAAATCTAACATATTGTTTCTACTTCAAAGTATGAGTGGCATAATTATTCATGTTATCTTCATTAAAACCACTGGTTGTGTGAACTTTTGTGTGAATTTGTTGATTTAATTCCACTGGATAATTGTTTCAACCATTTAAATCTTGGTTAAACTGTTAAGCTGAGTAAAATTTGTGTTTAAATTGACGCAGATAAGTGAAACCATGAGTTAACTGTGAAATTCGTGAAATGTGTTAAATTAACAAACAGGCAAAAATATTTCAGTGTAGAGAGAAAAAAATAGCTTTTATAAATAGTTTTATTTTCCAGCTGTTTTTGGAATCAAAACCTTGGAGCATCCAAGATGACTTCTTCATTAAACRCCTAAAAATCAGATTATACTGAAAGTAAACCTGTAGATTAAACCAGGAAGAGCAATTTTTTGTCATGACCACAGGCATGTGATTCTCACTGAGATGTATTACTTGAAAATGGAAAAATGGAAAGCTGTCTTAGTGGAAGAATCCACACTGGTTCTCACGATCATTTCTGTTCCTTCGGTTGTGGAGGAAGAACAATCATCACTGCAGACAGATCTGTACTTTACTCTGAAACTGACGCAACAAGATRGAAACCTCATCTGTTGGTTTGTCGTTACGGCACGATCCATCCCAGGGGGCGCTGCTAATTCCTACCCCCACCCGCCACCTCCCTCATTTTCACCAGTTGCATCACTCATCCTTTCCTTTCTCACAAATCAGATCAAGGCACCTGAATGGAAGGCTGTGTTCATTTCCACTGTCGTTCACGAAACAGCAAAGTGTCACCCGTGCTGCCCGACTCAATCGGCAGATTGGATATGTGTGTCAAAGCAATGTGGCTTGTTCTTTTTTATACTAACCTGGCTGTTCTCTTCTTTCCATAGGTCCTCCCTGACGTGTCCACACTGCCTGAAACAGAGCAACACCTTTGACCCGTTCCTATGCATCTCTCTACCCATTCCACTTTGTCAAACCAGGTGAGTTTGTCGTTTCCTGAAACGATGCTTCTGCTCAGCTCAGTTCAACAAACACACACACACTCAGATAAATGGAGAGCCAACCTGGTTCTTTGCGGCCACTTTAAAAATTTTTATATTTATTTATTTTTTATTTATAAAGTTTATTCATTTATATAAAAAAAACTTGTGTGTGTGTGTGTGTGTGTGTGTGTGTGTGTG